GGACGGTATAAGCTAAGCTAAAATTATTTAATTCAGTTAATGTTGCAGATTGCGTTGTTCCTTAATCTTCGAATTGGATTCGGCTTATTATTTTTTGCAGACTGTTAGAGCAATTTTATAAAAGTAAGCTTGAACTTTCGACTATGTCAAATAGAATTTCTGATATATATTTACTAATATGTAAAGGATCTACAAAGCGAAAGTATGTTTTGAAGTCCATTAAACAAAAAGTGGAGTTGCTTCAAAAAATGGTTAAAGGCATATCCTTTGTTTATCTTTAATGCCGCGGCGCGCAATGAATTGGAAGTTGATCTGTCAGCACTATCCTTATCTTCAGGGCAGATGCTTTTATTTTATATGGCTTATAATTCCTTACTAAATGTAGTATTTCATCTCGATGTACTTCGTCTTTGATATGATTTAAATCAAATTCCTCGTCATTATAATTCGCTTCCGATAGCGAAGAATGTGACAGAGGTTATTGAAAACGAAAAAATTTCTATTGACAAATTAGTCGATATTCTCGACACAGCAATTATAGGACTTGAACAGCGGAACTTTGTAACTGAACAAGAAATTATGTCTGTTTCTAGAATTAAAGAGAATGTATTACCACATAAAAAACAAAGCAACTTAAACAACTTACATTGAAAGAAATGTTTAATAAAGTAAACAAATAAATATTAAGCTTTTTTTTTTGTAAATTTTGATACCCTTTAGATCATAATTGTTCTTTATTTCATAAATTACGGTTTCATATTTTTAATTTTATAATTTCTGCATGCCATCTTACCAGATTTAAACTGATGATCTATAATCCAGAATCGCCCGACAAGTCCGGATTAATGACTTTTGACTGTATATAATAGGTATACTGTAATATCTAAATTTCAGCTACAAACTATATAATTAAAAAATACTTTAAAGCAAATTTGATTTAGACATAAAACCATTATTTGTATTATTGCAGTGGTACTCAAACGTTTTTGGTGCTGGGATACACAAGGCAGTTTCAGAAAACTAAGCGGGCACACATAACATTTCCGTCCCGATTATCATGTTACTAGTTAACACTAGCCCATAAGAAAAAAACATGCCCTCATAAAGAAGATCGAAATAGAAACAAAATATACATTTCATGCACAAAGTTTTTATTACTTACAGTATAGTCGTGTCTCTTCTGTTTATGTTGTTGCACTTAATATGATTTTTGATACTGAATTTCGTCCCCCAACATATGTTAGGTGCATACGCTTGTTTGTAACATCCGTAAGTTTGAGCACGCAAACAATTGTCAAGATTCGAATCAATGATCCTGCTCCGGTTCTTCAACTTAATAATTTTCATGGCTGAAAATAGATATTTGCAGAGATAGGTAGACCCAAAACAAGATTTGATTTTATATGCAACACTTAGTAAAGGAAATCTGTTCTTTTCCACAAGTTTCCAAAAGTCTACATCTATGGCATGTGAGTGCAGGATAATATTCTTCAGTTCAACTTTTTCCATCTCGAGGTTTTCCACTTTTGCGGCAATAATTCTTGCAATTGCTGTGGTGGTTTCAGTTGCTTCATGGTGAATGATGAATGGGTTGACAAAAAAGCTCATCACTGGCTCCAGGCAACTGAAATCGCTTTTCGAATTGGTCCAGAAGCATCTCGAGATGGCCGGAAAATCGCAACGACCCAAAATTGTCGTCATTCACCACTTTTTTCATATTTGGAAAATGAACCAGAGACTTTGATCTCATTTGAGACATCCATAATATCAATTTGGCTTTGAAAGCTTTCACAGATCCCATCATTTGAGCCACCTTTACCCTGAAGATCCAGATTTAAAATGTTGAGTTTCTCAATGATATTGGCGAGGAAAGCCAGATCAAGTAGTCACTTAAATTTTTAAGTGTGTTTACTGAATTTGTCAGGGTTAGATTGCATAAACTTTTATCTGCTCGATTAGAGATAAAAAACCTTGATAGAACTTTACCTCTGCTAAGCCATCGGACTTCTGCATGTAAGAGGAGGTCGACTTTTTTATCTTCGGAGTCTTCCAGCAGTGCTTTAAAAAGCCAGTGTTGCAAAGGAGCCGCACGAATAGAATTGATAATCCACATGACAACATTCATGGCATGTTCAAATGGAAGTATCTTTGCCCACAACGCTTCTTGATGAATGATGCAGTGATAAGACATGAAGAAATAGTAAATTACCTTTTTAAATACCTCATACAGTCGAATCAAGGGTCGACTTTGACCTGCAGTTTCCTCCACTTCTGTCAGCCCTTTTTGGTGTGGTGAGCCTTTTAATATCGTGCCCCGAATCTTAAAACTTTATCGTCCTATTAACCGGCGAGGACATGCTTTGGGCATGATCATTACAAAAACATAATACAGAAATTACTACTTTCGGTAAAATTTTTCTACCTTCTCAGTAGCTGCATTCAAGGTCATGTACGTGTCATTCACAGGCATTTCCGGAATTTATCTCTTCCTCTTTTTTCAGAAATTGGGTAGCCAAGCCTCCCAGGCTTGAGGTGCGCCTTCGTTTCTCATTTGAAACTAAAAAAAACGGACAGAGGCGATAAGAATATCAAGTAACACGCATCACCCTCGATGTTTCCGAAACCCAAGACAAGGCCAACCAAGTTTCCTACCCCTTCCCTGCCGAACTCCCTCTATGTGCAATCCCAAGAAAGACTGTAGGAAAAAAATTTTTTTACCGAAGCTTGGCGGGCGCTATGCAAGGTTGCCTCGGGCATCGGGTTGAGTACCACAGAATTATTAGATTATTTATAGCATGACTTTATACAGTATACTAAATTAAAATTTAGAATAACTAATTAAATATTAAAACTATAGTTTGAAAGGTAGTTTAATTCAAATTTACTTTTTAATTTTATACTTGATGAAAATCTAAATAAAGAAAAATTTCATTCGTCAAAATGCTTTTAAATGTAATGAAAATATTAATGTGCAATTAATCCTGTACATGAAATTAGTAATTTACTATTTACAAATTAAATACAAATGGTTACCCATTAAATGAAAATAAGGTCTTTGCAAAATGCTCTCCAAATTTATGCATTATATTAACATACATTCATTTGAATAGAAATTATCTTGAAAAAAAATGGATTTACTGTTTTGGAATTTGCAAAGCTTCAGTTTCATTAAAGAATTACACCTGTCTAAATGTCTTAAGAATTTGCCATCAAACTTTTCATTTGACAACTAATTAGCAATATATCTTCTACGTTTATATTTAAAAGAGATGATCTAAACTCAAGCAACATAATGGAGAGGTCTGAAGATTTACCTGCAGAAACAAATACTCAGAAGCATAAATGTTAGAATATTTCTATATTTCTGGAAAAAGCATTTTAGTAGAGATGCCTTTTGCTTTTACCAAGAATACAGTACTTAGATTTTTTAAAAATCTTGCATATTATTTTCACAACAGCAATAACCATATCTTTCTACTATTAAGAATCCTATTCAAACCAACAGGAAAACTCCCATGCAGCCAATCCATTTGCTTGGATTCAAACTATCAATCTTCAGTGATTTTACACTACTTCATTGGTGAGCTCAAAATGATAAGAATGATTTACTCAAAAATATTCAAAATCACAAATGGTGAAGTCAGTTACAATAAAAAAGACAAGCATGATTAGATGAAAAAGTTGTGCAAGCAATGGGTGTAGAGACACTTATTGCCAGAAAAGAAGCTAAAACTCATTTTAAACCGGACAGAGCTTGAAGTTTGGTGCATTGGCATGATTTGTCGCCAATAGCAAAATGACCCATTGGCTAATCTGTGGAATATGGTAACAGGTAGTTTGGCGACATTTGGTAAGGCGATAAAAGTTACTAGCTAGGACTTTAGTAGTGTACATGGATAAAGTCAAGAGTGTGTGCAATGCCATTTTTGTGCAATTTGTTTTTTTTTTAATGAAATAGGTCGACGTTACAGGATGATCCATGTATGTGCAATTTTAAAAACGCAGCAAGCATTTGCGATTCGCACTTTCGCCTAATTTCGCACCTAATCTCGTCTGATTAGGCATTTGTTCTATAAAAGTTTAGTCTAAGCGTAATTCGCTAGCAGATGCTGGAAAAATGTTGAGAAAAAAAACAAAAAAAAGCTTCGTGAAAACAGGTTGCTGTAGCAGGGTTGGTTGCCAAATTTTCACCAAGTTACCATAATCCAAAGATTAACTGACCCATTTACTGCTCATAATTATGTCACCAAATCCCGTGTGTACCATATACTAGGATTAATCCAAAAAGCTTTAATAGAAAAGAACTATAATGTCTATTACCAAGCTTTCATTTCTTACTTCATGTCCCATTATGTTATGCAACACGGCACTACAAATTATGACTGCCAGGTATATTCTGTGTAGCTTTGCCTTTTTGTTTTAAAATTTCAGTGATTTAAAAGTGATAGATAAACTAATAACCTAAATGTTTTTAATAGCATATGAAATTAATACAATTTATAATCAGCTGATAATTTGTACGAACATTTTTGTCACTATTACAACTAATAAAAGATGTTCTTAATACTAATCTAGCCTCCAGTGCCTTTGCAAGTTAGTATTATTACCATCTGAATGCAGTGAAAAAGCATACTGTTTGATATCTTAAAAAAAAAAAAAAATTTAAATCATTTGTTTAATTTATTTTACGTTGAATAAAATATTTCACATATTGGTAAAGAATTAAACTAGTATTCCACATTATTCATATTCTAATCAAAAACATATGCATTTGTTAGAAGATGAGAGCAGAATTACATGTTAAATAACATAAAATTTATGGTTTAATTACATGGTTTATACATAGCATATTTTAAAATATTGTAACCATTCGAATTAATTGAATAATTCATAAACAAAATATACAGCAAAACAAAAATCTCTCTCAAAATTCTATTTAAACAGCAAAATATTCATTTAACTGAAGGTACTATTAACAATAAAATATATAACTGCATTAGAACCATTGCTTAAAACAATTTTATTTATAGCAAACACATACATATCATATACACATATGTATATGGAATAAGAGATACTAAACAATTATGATACCTGAAATCAAGATGTACTGAAGAAGATACAGAAATAATTAACACTCAAATAAATGCGATTTTCATCTAAATTTGCATAAAAACAAATATAGAGCTTAAAAAAATATTTGAAATCCATAAACAAAGTGAATGTATATAATATCACATGAAATGGGCCAGCACATAGTGAAATACAGAACAATTAAATGAATTTCTCCATGAAAACAATTCTCTTTCACATGTAGGAAGATCAATACTGAAAGCTTCTTTGCGTTTGGATATCATCCAAGATCTGACGCAGTTCTTCGTCTTCGAACCTACCTTCAAGGCTGGGAATTAAAGTTTTGGCTTCCTCGGGAGTCTCAGGGCATAAATTTGCAAGCTGAGCTAGTTCAAATTTGTGTACTTTCTTTTGTGTCAACAAACTACGAACAGCAGATATAGTTTCACGATTACGGAAACGGCTAAATCTTTGGCAATAATTTAGAGTTTTCATGAACACTTCAGGAAGTTCTTGCTCTTCTTCAGCGTTTTCATTCTGTTGTTTTCGATGCTCTAATAACATCAAAACTTCTGACACTAAAAGTGTTTCAGCATTTTCAAACTCTTTCGGAAACTGGAGTTCACCGGCATCTTCTTCCACTTGATCTAGAACATAACTGGGTGCACTAGCAGCCATCAGTACTTTTTATTTCGATAAAATATATATGTTTATATAAATACTTCTTTAATACCTAACCCCCAAATGGAAAAGCAGTACAAATTTACTGCACGATGGTATTGGTCAATACCAAGGAGGTT